AGGCAGATATTTTTTTTATTTTTAACAGCTAATCAGGCTGTTTGCTACAAGGAGCTAAGTCAGTAACTATAAATGCCTATAGAATGTTCAAATTATTAGACTTATTTTTTAAAGACCGCTTTATTATTGTTCTCAACAGCTTAACAAAATGTAGAAGCCTTTTAAAATAAATGCTTGATCTACAGAGACCAAGTACTATTGTATCTTCTTTTAAATAGCAGAGAATAACTATAATTCCAGAAAGCACATCAATTTTAACAGCATCTGTTAAAGTATAGTCTGAAATGTAACACTACAAACAGTGTATATTGTCTGTACTGTTTGCTGTTTTTTGCAAGGAGGGAAATTGCTGGGAGACAGAGTCAGATATTTTCCCCTTGTTTTCCTCCCCAAAACCTAGGTGCGTCTTATACTTCAGAGCGTCTTACATTCATAAAAAATACGGTACGTCTTTGGTTTCAGTGAATGTGTCACAGAAGGAAGTATACAGTCTGGTCCTAAACAATTTATTTCCAGTTTAGACTTAGGAACTAATCTGAGAAGTATTTAGAGCGCAATCCTTTTATTCTGCATTATCTCGTTTCCAGCAATTGGAAACAGTTTGTACACCATCCCATGTGGTTTCTCAGCACGTACCATTTTGAGTTCTTTATCACAGTTGTCATGGTAATCTGTGCTGCATTACAATTTTGCATAATCTGTTAAATCTTGAAAGCCATAAATTGCTATGAGTGATGGTCTTATCTACCATATGATAACACCCACATTACAAAAATGCTAGCACTAGTGACATATTTGTTGATGGAAGGGTGTACATGAAAAGGTTGACTAGAAGCCAAGTTGCACCAATTTGAGTTTTTTTAAAGCAGACACATTCAAGAATATATTAGCAAAATGAAAAACTGACTCACACAAAGAGACTTCTTCCCTAATATGCATTTCTAGATTCCTGGTCACAGCACAGTTGATTTCATTTTTCTCTTTATTCCAAGGAGATAAATATAAAAAAAGCCAAGCTAGTTCAGAGCAAAGACTTATTCAGCACAATATTCTTTAGTTAATTAGTTAACACCCAGGTATCTCTATTAAGCCCATAAAATAAGGAATGAACACCACAATGAACTCTTGCTTTCTTTTCGACCAATATGTTACATGAAACACTTGCAAGTTAGGGTTCTAAGTTATCTTTAAAGGCATTGCCATGTGGATTGTGTTGCAATAATCCAGGTAGCTGATGATAAATAAAGGCATGAATCATTGTAGCAAGGTTGTATCATCCCAGGTGGAGTTGCAACTGGCATGCTAGTTGAGGCAAAGACAAAAGCCAAACAGCTTCTGCCAACTGTTTCAAGAAGACCCTGAAGTTTTGGATTTCCTGTTTCAGGGATAATGCTTACCTATACCATTGGAGCCACCAAGAAACCCTAAAATGAACAAACAGTAACTCTTTCTTGGTAGAATTGAATTTTAGTCTGTCCTGGCCTAGATTAATAATTTATCAAGTAGCAAACTGATGGAATCAAACCCTGAATTGCAGGTAACCATTCTCAGTGGCTTCGTGTATTTATTAAACAAGGAAACTGCCTCCAAGCAATTTCTCCTCTCCTACGCCAATTGATGGGAACCTTCCATTGAGGAAGGAACAATGTCACTGCAGAAATTGTCTTCAATCTTCAACCCCAGGTTGGTCTAAAAGGTTACCATGAGCAATACTTCTAAAGGCCACAATTTAATATATTTTAGTGCCTAAAAGAAACAGGTTAGATGAACCTCCAATCCAAGTCTACAAAGATTATCCACTGTGCAACCAAAGCTCTTTCCATCCCATGCCTGAATTCTGATAAAGATGCAAATACACCACTTCCGAGAAAAGGAAAGGTTGAAGACTGACAGTAGTTGTATAAAATCACTATGAGATGTTTTGGGAGTTGATAATATACCATGAAGCATATTTCAGTAAGTCATGACACATTAGAAAAAAGTTGATTAAATACCATTTCTTGAACAGTAGCCAGTCTAGTGCAACAAACCAATAACAATCCATTATCATGGATGCCAAAAGTGAAATGGAATGTTTCTGTCTTCAGACTTCCACAAAATCACACAAGTCAGCACCTTACTGTGATGCTCAGCAAATTCAGATTTATATCTTAGATGCATAGACATGTATAGGACTGCGCTGTAATCAATCACATTAACTGCCTTTCTAGCTGCCTGGCTACCAGTTGTTTGCTTCAGTGAAAAAGTGCTTTTAACACATGTCAGATCTGCCCCCTCAGCAATGTAAAATTTCATACTTTCATCACTTCACAAATTCTATCCATAACTGCTAAAGAATCTGAAAACAGATTGATTTTATTTCAAGAAACAAGAAAGACCCTCTAGTTCAAATCTGAAAGAAAGACAATATCCTTCTATTAGCATACAGCCAAGTACCTAGACTAATATACAATTAGCAGTTGTGCCAATTCAGGTATAGGCAAAATATACTTTTTCAAAAAAGGACAGAGTTTATATAGAAACATAAATTAGTAAAAAAATCCTGTAGAATTTTCTTACTAGGAAATTTTTGGATCATAATTTGTAATAAGCATGGTTTTTACACACACTATTCAATTTTTGCTTCAATAAACCAACATATCATTTTTGAGAAAAAAATAACTAACTAAATTGCAGGAGAAATGTTGTTTATAAAAATCAAAAGAATAAAAACAAAACAAAATTATAAAATTATAAAATCTGTATTCTTTCTAACTGTTTATTTTACACAGCAGTAATGGTGAATAAATAGAAATGTTAAAATGTTGATATTCATCACAACAAGGAGTGGACAAATGTCAAGAGAAAAAAGAGCCTATAACATATGCAACTATTAAGCATTATTTGAAAATGTGTATCTTTACAGCACAAATATTCAACCTGTGATCTGCATGCTAGTATTCCTCCGTGTATAATACATATACATTGTAGAGAGACAGTTATGTTAGACACAG